ATATTTGTTTGAATACTAGCTTGTTCATTTTTGTACAGTAATGCAGATGTTTGTTTGAATGTTAGCTTGTTCATTTTTGTACAGTAATGTAGATGTTTGTTTGAATGTTAGCTTGTTCATTTTTGTACAGTAATGTAGATGTTTGTTTGAATGTTAGCTTGTTCATTTTTGTACAGTAATGTAGATGTTTGTTTGAATGTTAGCTTGTTCATTTTTGTACAGTAATGTAGATAGTTGTTTGAATGTTAGCTTGTTCATTTTTGTACAGTAATGTAGATATTTGTTTGAATGTTAGCATGTTCATTTTTGTACAGTAATGTAGATATTTGTTTGAATGTTAGCTTGTTCATTTTTGTACAGTAATGTAGATGGTTGTTTGAATGTTAGCTTGTTCATTTTTGTACAGTAATGTAGATATTTGTTTGAATGTTAGCTTGTTCATTTTTGTACAGTAATGTAGATGTTTGTTTGAATGTTAGCTTGTTCATTTTTGTACAGTAATTTAGATGGTTGTTTGAATGTTAGCTTGTTCATTTTTGTACAGTAATGTAGATGGTTGTTTGAATGTTACCTTGTTCATTTTTGTACAGTAATGCAGATGTTTGTTTGAATGTTACCTTGTTCATTTTTGTACAGTAATGTAGATGTTTGTTTGAATGTTAGCTTGTTCATTTTTGTACAGTAATGTAGATGGTTGTTTGAATGTTGCCTTGTTCATTTTTGTACAGTAATGTAGATGGTTGTTTGAATGTTAGCTTGTTCATTTTTGTACCGTAATGCAGATGTTTGTTTGAATGTTACCTTGTTCATTTTTGTACAGTAATGTAGATGTTTGTTTGAATGTTAGCTTGTTCATTTTTGTACAGTAATGTAGATCGTTGTTTGAATGTTGCCTTGTTCATTTTTGTACAGTAATGTAGATGGTTGTTTGAATGTTAGCTTGTTCATTTTTGTACAGTAATGTAGATATTTGTTTGAATGTTAGCTTGTTTATTTTTGTACAGTAATGTAGATGGTTGTTTGAATGTTAGCTTGTTCATTTTTGCACAGTAATGTAGATATTTGTTTGAATGTTAGCTTGTTCATTTTTGTACAGTAATGTAGATGGTTGTTTGAATGTTAGCTTGTTCATTTTTGTACAGTAATGCAGATGTTTGTTTGAATGTTAGCTTGTTCATTTTTGTACAGTAATGTAGATGTTTGTTTGAATGTTAGCTTGTTCATTTTTGTACAGTAATGTAGATGGTTGTTTGAATGTTAGCTTGTTCATTTTTGTACAGTAATGTAGATGGTTGTTTGAATGTTGCCTTGTTCATTTTTGCACAGTAATGTAGATGGTTGTTTGAATGTTAGCTTGTTCATTTTTGTACAGTAATGTAGATATTTGTTTGAATGTTAGCTTGTTCATTTTTGTACAGTAATGTAGATGGTTGTTTGAATGTTAGCTTGTTCATTTTTGCACAGTAATGTAGATATTTGTTTGAATGTTAGCTTGTTCATTTTTGTACAGTAATGTAGATGGTTGTTTGAATGTTAGCTTGTTCATTTTTGTACAGTAATGCAGATGTTTGTTTGAATGTTAGCTTGTTCATTTTTGTACAGTAATGTAGATGTTTGTTTGAATGTTAGCTTGTTCATTTTTGTACAGTAATGTAGATGGTTGTTTGAATGTTGCCTTGTTCATTTTTGTACAGTAATGTAGATGGTTGTTTGAATGTTAGCTTGTTCATTTTTGTACAGTAATGTAGATGTTTGTTTGAATGTTAGCTTGTTCATTTTTGTACAGTAATGTAGATATTTGTTTGAATGTTAGCTTGTTTATTTTTGTACAGTAATGTAGATGGTTGTTTGAATGTTAGCTTGTTCATTTTTGCACAGTAATGTAGATGGTTGTTTGAATGTTGCCTTGTTCATTTTTGTACAGTAATGTAGATGGTTGTTTGAATGTTAGCTTGTTCATTTTTGTACAGTAATGTAGATATTTGTTTGAATGTTAGCTTGTTCATTTTTGTACAGTAATGTAGATGGTTGTTTGAATGTTAGCTTGTTCATTTTTGCACAGTAATGTAGATATTTGTTTGAATGTTAGCTTGTTCATTTTTGTACAGTAATGTAGATGGTTGTTTGAATGTTAGCTTGTTCATTTTTGTACAGTAATGCAGATGTTTGTTTGAATGTTAGCTTGTTCATTTTTGTACAGTAATGTAGATGTTTGTTTGAATGTTAGCTTGTTCATTTTTGTACAGTAATGTAGATGGTTGTTTGAATGTTGCCTTGTTCATTTTTGTACAGTAATGTAGATGGTTGTTTGAATGTTAGCTTGTTCATTTTTGTACAGTAATGTAGATGTTTGTTTGAATGTTACCTTGTTCATTTTTGTACAGTAATGTAGATGTTTGTTTGAATGTTAGCTTGTTCATTTTTGTACAGTAATGTAGATGGTTGTTTGAATGTTACCTTGTTCAGTTTTGTACAGTAATGTAGATGGTTGTTTGAATGTTAGCTTGTTCATTTTTGTACAGTAATGTAGATGGTTGTTTGAATGTTGCCTTGTTCATTTTTGTACAGTAATGTAGATGGTTGTTTGAATGTTAGCTTGTTCATTTTTGTACAGTAATGCAGATGTTTGTTTGAATGTTAGCTTGTTCATTTTTGTACAGTAATGTAGATGTTTGTTTGAATGTTAGCTTGTTCATTTTTGTACAGTAATGTAGATGGTTGTTTGAATGTTAGCTTGTTCATTTTTGTACAGTAATGTAGATATTTGTTTGAATGTTAGCTTGTTCATTTTTGTACAGTAATGTAGATGGTTGTTTGAATGTTACCTTGTTCATTTTTGTACAGTAATGTAGATGTTTGTTTGAATGTTAGCTTGTTCATTTTTGTACAGTAATGTAGATGGTTGTTTGAATGTTGCCTTGTTCATTTTTGTACAGTAATGTAGATGGTTATTTGAATGTTAGCTTGTTCATTTTTGTACCGTAATGCAGATGTTTGTTTGAATGTTACCTTGTTCATTTTTGTACAGTAATGTAGATGTTTGTTTGAATGTTAGCTTGTTCATTTTTGTACAGTAATGTAGATGGTTGTTTGAATGTTGCCTTGTTCATTTTTGTACAGTAATGTAGATGGTTGTTTGAATGTTAGCTTGTTCATTTTTGTACAGTAATGTAGATATTTGTTTGAATGTTAGCTTGTTCATTTTTGTACAGTAATGTAGATGGTTGTTTGAATGTTACCTTGTTCATTTTTGTACAGTAATGTAGATGTTTGTTTGAATGTTAGCTTGTTCATTTTTGTACAGTAATGTAGATGGTTGTTTGAATGTTGCCTTGTTCATTTTTGTACAGTAATGTAGATGGTTATTTGAATGTTAGCTTGTTCATTTTTGTACCGTAATGCAGATGTTTGTTTGAATGTTACCTTGTTCATTTTTGTACAGTAATGTAGATGTTTGTTTGAATGTTAGCTTGTTCATTTTTGTACAGTAATGTAGATGGTTGTTTGAATGTTGCCTTGTTCATTTTTGTACAGTAATGTAGATGGTTGTTTGAATGTTAGCTTGTTCATTTTTGTACAGTAATGTAGATATTTGTTTGAATGTTAGCTTGTTCATTTTTGTACAGTAATGTAGATGGTTGTTTGAATGTTAGCTTGTTCATTTTTGCACAGTAATGTAGATATTTGTTTGAATGTTAGCTTGTTCATTTTTGTACAGTAATGTAGATGGTTGTTTGAATGTTAGCTTGTTCATTTTTGTACAGTAATGCAGATGTTTGTTTGAATGTTAGCTTGTTCATTTTTGTACAGTAATGTAGATGTTTGTTTGAATGTTAGCTTGTTCATTTTTGTACAGTAATGTAGATGGTTGTTTGAATGTTGCCTTGTTCATTTTTGTACAGTAATGTAGATGGTTGTTTGAATGTTAGCTTGTTCATTTTTGTACAGTAATGTAGATGTTTGTTTGAATGTTACCTTGTTCATTTTTGTACAGTAATGTAGATGTTTGTTTGAATGTTACCTTGTTCATTTTTGTACAGTAATGTAGATATTTTATTGAATGTTAGCTTGTTCATTTTTGTACAGTAATGTAGATGGTTGTTTGAATGTTACCTTGTTCATTTTTGTACAGTAATGTAGATGGTTGTTTGAATGTTACCTTGTTCATTTTTGTCTAAATTTAGTCACTCAACAATTTCAATAAAATTCATTGATATTGTTGATTAAAAATGAATCAAGTGTAATCAAATTAAGTTGGCTTTGATTGGGATGCAAATCTAGGGTGTAACACATAATGACTAGAATGCAAATCTAGGGTGTAACACATAATGACTAGAATGCAAACCTAGGGTGTAACACATAATGACTAGAATGCAAATCTAGGGTGTAACACATAATGACTAGAATGCAAATCTAGGGTGTAACACATAATGACTAGAATGCAAATCTAGGGTGTAACACATAATGACTAGAATGCAAATCTAGGGTAATACATAATGACTAGAATGCAAACCTAGGGTGTAACACATAATGACTATAATGCAAACCTAGGGTGTAACACATAATGACTAGAATGCAAACCTAGGGTGTAACACATAATGACTAGAATGGAAACCTAGGGTGTAACACATAATGACTAGAATGCAAATCTAGGGTGTAACACATAATGACTAGAATGGAAATCTAGGGTAATACATAATGACTAGAATGCAAACTTAGGGTGTAACGCATAATGACTAGAATGCAAACCTAGGGTGTAACACATAATGACTAGAATGCAAACCTAGGGTGTAACACATAATGACTAGAATACAAACCTAGGGTGTAACACATAATGAAAAAGTACAAGAAATCATAATTAGAGGTTAACAATTAAGTATAGACTACCACTTAAATTACCAAAATATAATGTATAGAAAAATAAACAAGTAAAATATATGCTAAATATTCAAAAACTATTAAAAATAATGTGAATAAAAAAATATAAAATTTATCCTTACTGCTTGTTGATAAAGTTTCTTGTATTATTTGAGGATTAAATTTTTCTGGATAACTTGAAGAAATTCTTTTTGAAATTTTGGGTGCAGATATAGCAATAAATGGAGATTGTTTCATTGAAGACATAGGATTACTTTCTGATATAACTGATTGACTTGTATTAATAATGTGACCCTCGTTTGTTTTGCTAGGTATCGATGTCTTTGTTTCATTATCAACTTTAAGAAAAATGTGAAGCATTAAGTTTGCGAATATGTTTTTTAGAAAAATTTATTTTTTGTTAAATAAAACAATTAAACATTTTAAAAATTTTGTACCCCAAGGTTGTTTGCAAGCAGATTGTGCACACTCCATCAAAGGTAATTCTCCGCCTGATACATACTAAATTGCCATAAAACCACAATAAAATATAAAATAGCAATTATGTCATGCCTCAAAAAATATAAAAAATATATTGTAAACACAATTAAACATTAAAAAATATATAAAAATAAAGATGATTTGTGATTTCTTTAATACACCTCTTTTTTGCAACAAATGTTTAAAAAAAAAACAGTTTGGAAATCTACGAACTAATGCCAATAAAATACCCCAAAAAAAGTTCTATTGTAGGATAATTCTAGATACACAAAGGATTAATTACAGTGTAATAGGATTTTAAAACCACTTGGTATGGTAAACCATACCAAGTGGTTTTAAAATCCTACTACACTGTTTATGGACTTTTTTTAACAATTTTTGTTTCTTTCATAAAATGTCAAACAATTGTTTTCCTACAAAGGATTCATAACATAAAAAGTATTTCTAAATGCTTGGAAAAAAAATTTTTTTTTTTTTAATTATTCACCTCCCCAAGGCTCGTGGGGGCCACTACAGTCGAGGAAGCTACTCATTTTTTTTTTGTTGTTGTTGTAAATTGTGGTACAACCCTCTCTCAACTCTTTAACTCCGAAACATGAACCTTGACAAGCAAGGTCACTGCGCAGAGAAATTAAGTTGAGCGCGGTACTTCCAGGGACATGGTGGGAGTCGAACTCCAAACCTCTCGCTTACAAAGCGAGCCACCACTACCGCATTTTAATAAAAATATTACATAAACCTATCATTGACAATTTGCGAAAGACCAAAAAAAAAAAAAAAAAAAGCTAGTCATAAAACTCAAAAGATGATATCCTTCAGACTTTTTTATTTTATTTTTATTTTTGACAGATGATAAAATAACAATAAAAGGATTTTTTATCATTTCTGGATTTTTTTAAAATCTCATTGTTATAACCAATTACTTTTTCTCACTGTTATAACCATAAATTAAACATCTCAAAAGATGATGTGAGTAGTCAGGATGACATCATCTCTTTCGAACCTCTCCAGTGCATTTTGAAATTTAAATTAGGAACTTCTGTTGCTTGTTTACTGAAGAGACCAAGTCCTGCCTTTTTAATTTTGATGAATTGTAGCACATGATGAAAAAAGGCATGTTTGGTGTGATGCAGTTTGGGAGTTTGGCAAAAGAAAGCATTGAACTTTATGGTACCCATAAATTACTGGAAATGAAGGAGGATGTTCATCATAGACAACATCTGATGATGATGTGATATAATTATGAACTTGAAAAAAAGAGAGTTTAAAACTTATACCTCTGCTTTCATGTAATTATAAATACCTACAGTTGCCTGCTCAATACAAGGGGGGTGGAGATGGTAACAAAAAAAGGGGTTGGAATTTTTCTTAAATTTAATTTAGTATACTTATATAAGTTTTACTATAAAATAAATTGGTAGATGATCAGGTGATGGCTACAGGGGCCAGAGCGTTCTCAATTTTAAAAGATTGGAGTCAATTTGTTTTTCTAGCAGCCAGAAAAATAAGATTCAGTTAAAACACTTTAAAAAATCGTTTAGAGAGTAATAAAGAAATTATTTTGTAAAATTGTGACATAATGACAGTTTTCAGGACCACAAGCTGTAGAGGAGTTTATATGAGAAATAATTTTTAGTAACAAGAAGGAGTGATTTGGATACCTAATAGTGGATTAATCTGTTTCTTTGGGATGACAGAAAGGGTGAGGTCATTGATTTAGGAGATGAAAGTTCTTTGAAATTGTTGTACTTTATTCTGGGAGAAGTATTTTAATTATGTTTAAGAAATGAAATATTAGACTTATTTTTGTTAATAACATAGTTTAAAATTTTTTAAAAGTCTCCAAAACATAATTTGGAAGATAAAATACAAGTTATAGCAACCAGAGAATAGTGGAGCTTAGCATCAGACAGCATTTTTTTGCATTGATTTCTTACTATATTTATAAAAAAAAACACTACAGCGTTAGCATAATAAACGCACAAATGATAGATATATTTTGTATAAATCATTTATACTGCCACATTTAGAATATCCAAATGTAATATGTTGTCCATATCTAATGGAAGATATAGAAAGACTGGCAGGAATTCAATACAAAGTAGCAAGAACCCCTTCAGAATAAAAAGATTTATTGTATAAAGAACACCTAAATACTTGAATTTAACAATTTAACATTTGAATTTTTTGGATTTAATTAACTAAAGGTTTACACAATTAAGAATTATAAAAATTATTTACAACAATCTTTTTGTTCACTTGTGTCTTGTCAGCACTTAAAACAGTCAGAAACACTTCTGACTGAAAAAAAATTTTGTGAATATATATATATATATATATATATATATATATATATATATATATATATATATATATATATATATATATATATATATATATATAATATGTACATGAATTTCACCAGAATTTCACCCTAACTGCACTATTTACAATATTATTATAAACTTTTTCATCAAATACTAGGAGCGATTAGTGGAGAACTTGAAGAGAGGTTTCATCAGGACATCCATGCAATCAGGGAGTGGTATTAAGGAAAATGGGATGAACTCATGATGAGGGACTATATCTGGAGCATGGTTCATTGTAATGTCTCCACACACAAAAGACAAAAAAAAATCAAAAAGGGATATTTCTGAACTTTTGAATGTAAATTGTAGTTATATACATACATATTATATACATATGTTATAGGCATAAAAACTTAAATTCAAATTCAAAGATGATAAAAATGTAAACTGAAGTTTCTACATGTTAATAAATATTACATATTTTTCTACCCAAAAAAACAAAGAATAAAATAACACAATGATTTACAAAGATTTAAAATACGATTTATACAACCTGTATTTTTCTGAGATTGAAAAGTTCTAATGTTTCTGATATGTGAGTTTTGAGAAAAAAGTAAACATATCTCAATATATGTTACAATTTTGGATTTTAAATAGATACTTGTCTGTTAAATTAATTTGAAAACTTTATGTAGGAACCATTGTGTGCTAGATTCCTAATATTAGGGTACCTGATTATTCCTGCATAACATGGAACAAAACCAAAATGCATAACATACCCAGCTGCATAATATTACATACCAAATTGACTTTACGCAAAAATTTCACAATATCAACAAAGGCTGGTCGATCTTTTCCTTCTTTCTGCCAACACCTAAAAAAATGCAATAAAATAAATTAACCTCAAAAACGATCTAAAATGAAAGTTAATTACGGTAGTAGCATGATCTGCTAACAGTAGCTAGGGTAATTCCACATCAAATCACCCACTCCATTGAACCATGTGTCTTCTTTTTGTTTTAAATTTTGACACATGATTCCTATTTATAAAAAAATATTGCATGCAAAATTTCAGCTAAAAATGTCAAGCGGTTGACAAGATACAGCAAATTTAATTTGGACCTGGTTTCTCAAAATGACCCGGTTTTCATAACATTCTGAAAAGTTGTTTTCCTCAATAAAATAAGAAATAAAAATGGCAAAAATATAAAAATATACATTTATAATGGTTTTTTAATGCTGAATTCAATAAATGTACTTAAAATGCTGAAATGTTAGAGGAACATCCTTAAAAATTAATAAATCAACTAGTTTATATAATCTAACTTTAGGGCCCAATATCTCAAAACACCCCCGTCAAATTTTTTTTTTTTTTGCTTTCAATATTTAAAGCTAGTTATAATCTTACTAGGCACAAAAAATCTAACTGGAAAAAAAACTGAAACATATAGAACTTTAATTTTAAAGATGTATAACTTTTTTAAGAAATTCCTAAAAAATATTTATAAATTCAATTAAAATAAATTATTCCTAATTTACAAAGTTACTTAAATATACAAGATTTTTAAAGGTATCGAATGTGCAAGTTATTTTGACTGTATTTGTAATAGTTCACAATATTGTTGCCATTTTACTTGCACTTCTTCTATTTCAACATTTTCAAACACATAGTTTCTACCAGAACTAGAGCAAGCTTGTGGAACAGATAGTTTTTTCAATATATTGATGTTAGGAATAAAACAGTGGTCGTCTCTTTCAGGCCAGTTAAAATAGATTGATGGACCTCTTGGGTGGAGAAACTTAACTTCAGCATCAACTTCTTCTAGGTTGATTTCAGTTACAATGCCGATCCACCACTTATCATCATAAACTACCGCAACATAACCTCCTAAAGTGACAGTATCAGGTTCAAATATATGTTTCTTTTTAAGATTGTGAATTATTGTATATTTAGTGTCTGTACTACACCTCTTCGCCCCAACCCTATTATCTCCAAGATGTATAAATTGATGAAAGCTACGAGTACCTGGTAGAGTTGTTACATCAGTGTACCTTTCTTTTTGCTTTTCACGTTGCAATTGTAAGTCCAATCCCTTTATGTAAATGAAGTTAACAGCCTTAATTTTCTCAACACAAAATTCATACATAGCCTCTGATGTGAGAATTTGGTTTCTGTATGGTCGTTTTAAACTTTCTTGTGCTGTTAACCTTTTTACAGTACCACCAATTCCATCGCATGGTGACTTTCCGTGGGACGTGGCAAAAAAGTTCCATTCAATTTTGAGGGAAAATTCTGTCTCTAGTTGGCATAGATTGTAAAAGCTTTTACAATTTTTGTACTGTCCTGCACAACCATCAGTGAATAAATGCAATTTGGATAAATCAAGAAATTTTGTTTTTAATATTGGTATAATTAGTTGAAATATCTTGTATACATAAGTTACATCGTGTATAATGTCGTCTGATATAAAACAGTAAGAAATATGTTTCACTACACCATTTTCTTCTTTATAGTATATCACTAATGGATGTAAAGAACATTGTTGGGTGTTCCAGTGATAGCTCTGTATTTCATCTTGGACTACAAAAGCATAATTTTCAGCAAAGTCGCCAAGAATGATAATGTTTGATTGATCCATATTTTCTTTTAGTTGATTAAGGTATTGTGATTGAGATTTGGCAATATAAGAATGAGATTGTAGCTTTTCAAAACAAGATACCAATAGTTCAATAAACGTTGGAACATCTGTTGTTAAACTCAATAGTGTTGCACGATCAGTAGTTTGCCATTGTTTGTAGTGTATCTCAAAATCATCTTCGTATTCTCCAAAAATCTCATACAAATACATGGTGAGCAGTTCTTTACCAGGACAATTATCACACTGTGCAAGCATGCATTCTTTGTTTTCTACTGAGCAAACAGTTTTCAAAAGTAAATCCTTATACGTTAGTTCAATATTTAAGGCATCCACTAGCAAAATGGCATTTTGGTTATAAGAACAAACACAAACAGAATGTGTACCACTTGCACCTGGCAAAATGCACCACTTTGGTCTAAGTGAAGCAAATTTTGAGTAACTTATTTGTATTTCTGGATTGTTTTCTTTGTATAATACATATAGTTCCTTTAAATTACACAAAAGCAGTTTTTTTTGTTTGTGGACGTTCTTTTGAATGCTGACATAATCTTTTTTTCCAGGCATAGTTCGACATAAATCACTTGAGTCATAAAACAATTTAACTGAATCTTCTATTTCTTTATGTAAGACTTTACCCTTATACAATGGAGAGATACCTAACAATCCTTTTTTATTAAAAATTTTTCTAGCCATCTTGGCCTGGTATTCTGTAACCGAAAAGTTATTTTGTACTTCTAATATTGACCAACTTGGGGGTGCCAGTGTTAGAAGTTGAACAATAGTTCGTTTGTCAGAACATAGAATTTTTTCTTTTACCAAGCTCATAATTTCATCAAAGTTTGCAGCCTTCTTTTTCATCCCATTGGTTTCATAACATAGTTTTGAGGAAAACTGAGTTTCAATTTTTCTAGTAGCGTTATACGCCATTTCGTTGATGCATGCAACTTTTTGCTTTCCTTCTGACAGTATATGTTTTAATGATTTTGAATGAGATTTTAGAGGAGATAAACTAAAATTTTTGAGTTCTTTATTGATCTCCTGTCTTATTTTTTTGCATGGTGATATTAGAAAATCCTCATCTTGTTCACTCTTACTTTGCTCCTCTTCTGTAAGTTCTTTTTTTCTGGCAATCTTTTGTTTACAAGGTTTGCAAAGTTTCTTCCCAGGAGGAATATTCAAACAATTTCTCATCATGACTTGTGACTCTTTTATTGTAACTACGCCAAGATTTTCTAAAAGTAATTGAATTGTATAAAGTATGTCTGCACATTAGTTCAAAACTTTCGTTTATTTTTTGAAAAACATAAATTAATGAAATATTTAAATTTTACAGCTACATACTTGTGATTTTCTTTGTATGTCTATTGAATGGATCACAACAAGCTTTCTGCCATATAGGATACATTTTCAAATATTTTGTATTATGTCTTTCACATAAAATTTCTAAGTTTGATAATTCAATATTACAGCGTAAAGATATAATTATTTTTTCTTCATTGCTTAAAGTTTCAATAACATCTTGTTGGCCTTCGCAAGCATCTGATGTCATTAACCCAATAGAACACATCTTAATAAGATAAATTATTTAGTATGAAAGTATTTCCTAAAAATAAAAATAAAATTCTTCTACTTAATTGTATGTAAAAAAAGTTTTTTAATAAATATAATTTTTAATAAATGTTGTTCTTAATATTATTATTATTAATATTAATAATAAATGTTGTAAAAAAAGAAGTTTTTAAATAATTATATTATTTAAATTATTAATTTTTTAAAATTTAAATATAATCTTACCAATAAATGTTGTTCTATATCTGAACTTTTATAAACTAAACTTTTATAAACTAATTTTTAATAAACTTTTACAAACTATAGTTGTCAAAATTAAAAAAAATATCATATTAACATAACAATTATTTTTTATAAAATGTTTTTATATAAAAACAAAACCGGATGTTTTTTCAGTTGTTAAGTTCATATAATTAAGTTATCATATAATTAAGACTTCCTTAAATATATAAAAAGTCTATTAACCAAAATTAATTCTTTACAGAATTCTATAATTTGCTACACATGTACTATCTTTAGGAAGATTTTTAGCAGCTTTTAAGTGATGCCATACCCTTTTAATTTTTTAATTAGTTTGCAATGAAGTGTATTGAATGCTTTTGCAGTAAGAAAAAAGCAATTCGAAGGATACAAAAAAAAAAAGAACTTTCCTACTTAGTTTTCAGTAAAAAAAAAAGCTCTAGTTTTAAATATAGTAAATAATGATATAGTATTAGATATTTCCAAATCTTTGGCTGTAGGATAATTGGAGCTTGATAAGAGTTAACAATGATGTCTCAACTTATCATCTACAACTTATCACTACTAAGTAACTACTGTTCATACAAAGTAGTTTGATATGTTTTATTGGCTAAATGGTTTAAATGACAGAGATATGGCAATGCCAGGTGTTATTGAAACACTATTCTCCTCCCCTCTAACTGTAATAAAAAAAAGTTGTTTTCACCATATCTTTTGCAATATGCTTTTTTTTAAGTATTCTTGGTAAATTGAACTAAATTAGAACATCACTAAAAATATTTTGTTGTTCCCTCACCCCTCCCCCTCGTTAGAAAATTGCTATGGGCACCCATAAAAGTGGTGTATCTTGGAAACTATGGTTCTATATGTTTTAGTTGTTTTTCCAGTTAGGTTTTTTGTGCCTAGTAAGATAATAAGTAGCTAAAAATATTAAAAGCAAAAAAAAAAAAATCTAGACGGGGGTGTTTTGAGATATATGACCCCTAAGTTTGAATATATAAATTAGGTGTGTTTTTAATTTTAAAGCATGTTCTGCTCATATTTCAGCATTCTAAGTGCATTTTTTGAATTCTGCATTAGAAAAGCATTATAAATGCTAATTTTCATATTTTTATTTTCATTATTTTTCATTTTATTAGAGCAAACGTTTTTTTAAAATGACACAGAAACCAGGTCATTTTGGGAAACCAGGTCTATATTAAAACCTTGATATCTTGTGAACGGCTGAACATTTTTGGCTAAAATTTTGCATGTGAACTTTTCTATATGAAATGCAACAGCTAAAGAAGTTTAAAGAAAATATGAGACCTATGGTTCAAAATCTTGAAAAATTTGGGTGATTTGATGTGGAATTACCCGCTAGTTAAGTTTGGAGTTACAAGGAAGCAGAGAAGATAGTTAAAGAGCAAGAAAATAGTATGCAAAAAAAACTTTAAACTATATGAGCAAAGTAACTCAATTAAATTAACCACAATTAAGAAGAACTATAATCAGTTGTAACAACTATAAAGTATATGTCCATCAAACTAATAACAAGTATAATTTATAAGTACATCGTCACTCTCAGACTGTATTGGAATAAACACTGACACGTTGCACATCCACGGTAGTAGCATGATCTGCTAACAGTAGCTAGTTAAGTTTGGAGTTACAAGGAAGCAGAGAAGATAGTTAAAGAGCAAGAAAATAGTATGCAAAAAAAACTTTAAACTATATGAGCAAAGTAACTCAATTAAATTAACCACAATTAAGAAGAACTATAATCAGTTGTAACAACTATAAAGTATATGTCCATCAAACTAATAACAAGTATAATTTATAAGTACATCGTCACTCTCAGACTGTATTGGAATAAACACTGACACGTTGCACATCCACGGTAGTAGCATGATCTGCTAACAGTAGCTAGTTAAGTTTGGAGTTACAAGGAAGCAGAGAAGATAGTTAAAGAGCAAGAAAATAGTATGCAAAAAAAAAAAATTTAAACTATATGAGCAAAGTAACTCAATTAAATTAACCACAATTAAGAAGAACTATAATCAGTTGTAACGACTATAAAATATATGTCCATCAAACTAATAACAAGTATAATTTATAAGTACATCGTCACTCTTAGACTGTATTGGAATAAACACTGACATGTTGCACATCCATATTTTGCTGGAAACTGAATAACACAGTTACAACAATCCTCCACCCATAAATTATTCATACTGTTCTAAACATGCTAGTTTATGACAGATTCGACCTGACCTTTGGCTTTTTGTAGAAATGGGTTCAGAAAACAACCCAAATTGTTCACAAGGTCTCTTGAGACCAAAATCTTTAATTCAAGCTGCTCATATACTCTGTTGGGATCAGTATCCTTGATAATCAAGTCGTATTCATTGTGCATGTTATCACTTGGAACTGAGTTTCAGTTGTTTCAGATATTTGATAGCTTAACAAAGAACTGTTCATGCCATCTGCTGTTTTAACTAAAGGCTTAATGCAACATTTCACATGACATTTTACAATCTGATCTACATGTCTAATCTGGATACGACCATCTGATGTCAACACTTTATAGTTAACATTTCCAACTGCCGATACAATAATGGCTGAGACACACTTCTCACTCCCAATATAACTCCTTATATAAATAAGGTCTTCAGGTTGAAAGAATCAAATTTTTATTATTCTGGAAGCTGCTTTTTGTTGATTTTGGTGATGGCCTTAGGAAGTAGCATCAACAATGGATTATAAACCTTTTCTAACAATTGGAGACAAAGTGAAAATGATGCTTTTGGCTAATATATCAAGTTTTAATTTAGAAAAGGATGCTTTTATTGAATTAATTTGAAAACTATTTACAATAACATTAAAGATGTAGAACTACAAAAAGCAGTTTTTTTATCAACTGTCTGCTTACAAAATTATTTGTAGTTTGTGCAAAAATGACACTAAAAATAAAACTTTTACTCAGATAATAATGCTAATGAGAAATTAAAACCTACTGTCAAGGATCAACTGAAGGAAGCACTACTAATGCAGATGAAAACAAAAGTGATTTTTTAGCATTGTATTCAATAGGTGAGGAATCTGAGAGGGTGAATGAATTAGTTATGATTAATGTAAAAATTAATGGTAAAGAGGTTGGAATGGAAGTTGACACAGGGGCTGCTATTTCCATAGTGGGTGTTTCAGCTTATAGAAGAATAAGAGGAAATAATGAAAAGCTAAGAAGGTCTGAAGTCAGGGAGCACAACCAAAGTTTTTTTAAACCAAGACCAGTACCATATGCTTTGAGGGTTAGAATTGAACAAGAGCTTGATCGCTTGGAAGACCAAGGGGTTTGGAGAAGAGTCCGATTCAAAATGGGCAGCACCTATAGTGCCTGTTCTAAAGAATTCAAAAGATCCTATGGGTCCATTGCGTATATGTGGAGATTATAAAATTACAATAAATCAAATTATCCCTCTGGATACCTATCGAATACCACTGTCAGTTAGCCACTATCTCAGGAGGACAGAAATACACCATGCTCAACTTGTCCCAGGCATATCAGCAACTTCAGTTAGATGAAGTTTTACAAGAATTTCTAAAAATAAATATGTATCAAGGTTTATATCAGCCAACTTGTCTTCATTTTGGTGTTCATAATGCAACCGGTATCTTTTTTTCAAAGAGAAATTGATAGAAGGTTGGGCAGATTACCATTTGTGAAAGTACGAGTAGACGATATACTCATTTTTGAAAAAACTGATAAAGAGGATTTAAGCAATTTAGAATCCATTTTAAGAATATTGAAGGAATATTGAAGGAAAGATTAACTCTTAAAGCATCTTTAAGTGCTCTTTAATGCAACCTGAAGTGGTATTCTGTGGTTTTATAATTAGCCATAAAAGTTGCAGACCAACAGCACAAAATGTATAAGCAGTCAGGGATATTCCTCAACCCACCAATGTCAACAAATTAAGAGCATTTTTAGGTATGGCTAAATATTAAAATGCCTACTTACCTAGGATGGCTTCTGTTACAGAACCACTCCATAATTTGTTGAGGAAGAATGTATTTTAGAAATGGAGTAAAAATTGTGAGAAAGCTTTTCAAAAATTTAAAACTTTGTTATGCAATTCACCATTGTTAGCCCACTTTGATCCATCAAAAAAAAATCATGGTTCACTACGATGTCATTCCACATGGCATGGGAAATGTTCTGAGTCAGGAGCATATTTTTGTCTTCATATTTTTGTTATCATGATAACAAAAATATCAAGACATTTTTTCGAGATAAAAAAAATGTGCCAATGAATGAACAATCTATTTGTATTGTACTAAAAATTACTTCATTAATTATTACTCTTTGCTTTTCTTATTAGTTAAAGGTACCTTTACCTTTAAGTTATGCGGGGGGAGGGGGCCAGAATAAAAAAAAAAATTACCTGTTACTCGCAACTTTTGAATGAAGACAATTTTCTGCGTGCGATAAATAATAATTATTTTTTTTCATAAATCAAGTTATATTATAAGGTAAAGAAATCACGAGTAAACTATAACATCCACTGATGACACTAATATTACGTTGAATATATTTATATAATGGAGGTTTCATTATGCACATGCACATTACAGACTCTGTTAAATAAATACTGACACGTTTTTTAGTTTAATGACAGTCTCTATTTTTTACTAATGACTATGTATTTTTCTGTATAAAATAAGACAAACTAGTATATAAAAACCAAGTATATTTCTATTCTCTCCAAATTGTTTAAAGTTCGAATATGGATTGTATTTTAAAGGACAAAAGATTTAATTTGAAAACTTTTAAATCCTGGGACTTTGCCGATGCTTTTCTAATTGAAACTATTACAGAAAAAGAGAAGACTTATGTTATTAAAAAAAAAATTTTTACAATAACGTAAAAAATTTATGAATTAAATTCCTGGCGAACGTGTTCTAAACTACGTATCAAAGCAGACATGCTCAAAGCAGACATGAAACTTTTTTATATTTTCATATAACGCAAGTTAAAGCGCTAAGCAACATAAATTTAAAAAATATTTAAAAACCTAAATTATTCTTTGCTATTTAAAAAAAAATCGCTGTTTAAATAATTAACAAGGGTTTTTGTTTATTATTGTTAATATTTTTTGTTTACTCCAGAAAATTTTAAAAATAAAAAAAATCATTATTATTTTTTATTCAATAACAATTTATAAACAATAACTATTCAAAAATAAATTTCAGAAATAATTAATATATATATATATATATATATATATATATATATATATATATATATATATATATATATATATATATATATATATATATATATATATATATATATATATATATATATATATATATATATATATATATATAATTTTACTAAATAATATTGAACTAAAATTAATATTAAAATAATAATTGAAAACATAACAAACTTTTCATAATAAATTTATATTTAAAACGTTTATAGTTATTTGAGTTAATTGTTAAATTGAACTAGTTAGCGGTTATTTATTTATTTATTTATATACTCCACGGTTAAAAACCATGGAGTTGGCTATGATAGAGCTAGTAAAAACCCCCACTACAAAGAAACAGTTGAGGACAGCCACATGCAATGATCCCATCTTTATCTGAAAACGTTAAAAAGAACACTACTGCTTTAGAAAAAAAAAACTCAATTAATTTAACCACAAATAACAAGAACTATAATCATTTGTAACAACCATAAAATATGTCCATCAAAATAACAACAAGAACATTTTTCACTAATTGTCACTTTTGGACTGTATTGAAATAAACGCTGACACGTTGCACATCCATATTTTGCCAGAAACGAAATTATACAGGTACAACACAAAGAAACCATGAAAATAAGAAAGAATTCCACTGTAAATAATATATAATAAATTATAATATGTAATGAATTAACAGAGAATTAACAGAGAAGTTTTAACTACATTTATGATGCATTTTTGCACTTAGTCAAAAAAAGAAAAGATGTTATTAAAAGACCCTCCCCAAATATAACAGCAGTATACAATAGAAGGGAGAATAAGATTTATAGAGGTAAAAAATAAAATCAATTTGTAGCTTATATCTACTGAAAACCAAGTTTTGAATAGAAATGACATACAAATGTTTAACGTTGTAAAAGTTGTCAAGTTGGCTTACATATTTATCAAAAGGTATCAGTAAAATTCTTTTTAGACCAAATGGAATGCATATCACTGAAAAAATGTACCTAAATAAATGTATAATTAAATACCAATTATATTGTTCAGTTAAATGACTTATTTATAATTATATTTGTAACAACCAACCTCTGAATGAGAATTTCTAAACATGATGGTATACCATTTATTAGAAAAGGCCGCTTTCCTAGAAAAAATTTAAATACATAAAATTAAATATACAAGTGCTTCTTTAAGTCTTATTTTTTTTATAAATTATTGCTTATATAATTACATAATATAATTGCTTACTACTATTTTATAATATTATTACTTCTTACCTTCACTCACATTCCACATTATTTGAAATGGATTTCCATCAAATGGTTTTTTTCTAGTTAACATCTGCCAAAGTATGATTCCAAAGCTTAAAAAAATTACAGGAGTGTAAAAATTATATCATTTTTATACTCCTATAATTTTTACTAATTTATATATATTTTTTATATAATTAATTTATTATTTTTTTTTTTTTTTTTTTTTTAACATCTTCACTTCCAACAAGGCTGCAAGCAACCACTATAAGAGTTGGAAGTTACTGGAAGAGAAAAGACTAAATCTGTAGAGCAAGATAACGATTGACTGATGACTTAAAAGATTGCAAATTATATGAATCAGGAAAGCAAGATGAAGGAAGCGAATTCCAAAGAACTGATGTTCGAGGAAAAAAACTAGAAGAATAAGAGTTTTTGAAGCACTTAGGAACAGTCACAGAAAAAGGATGAGACTTAATTGAATGGCGAGTAACACGAGAGTGAATTTTAGTAGATGGCACAAGGGACGCTAGCTCTTTAGAGCAGTGCCCATTATAGTATTTGTAGAAAAGAGAAAGAGAAGCAACATTACGACGATGTGACAAAGGTTGGAGATTGGCTGCAAGAGCAGGTCTAACTATGTTTACAATTCGTTTTTGCACCTTGTCTAAAAGAGAAAGAGCATCATTAGAAGATCCGCCCCAGATGTGGCAACAGTATTCCATACAGGGACGGATTTGAGATTTATAGAGATAGAGAATAGAATCTGGAGTAAGAAAGTGTCGAGCTCGATAAAGAGATGCAACCTTAGCAGATGCTAATTTTGCAATGGATTTGATATACGGTTTAAAAGAAAGATCAGAAGTAAGAGTTAATCCTAGAAGATGAATGGTAGATGACTCATCTAGTACATTACCATTCATAAATATAGGAAGATCTAAATTATTACGATAACGATTGGCCGAATAAAATTGAGTTTTATCTGAATTAAAGTTCACCAGCCACTGTGAGCCCCATGCTGTAGCAGAAGTGAGATCCTTTTCAAGCTCAGATACCCCCTCCAAGCAACCAGAGAGTGTAGGCTTCTTATCATGACAAGAGTAAATGGTAGTGTCGTCAGCGAATAATGCCACCTTAGATGTGAGAATATCTGGAAAATCGTTAATGTAAATTAAAAAGAGTATAGGGCCAAGGATTGAACCTTGAGGAACCCCTGAAGTTACAGGATGTGAAGAAGAGTGTTGTCCATCGAGGACAACTTTTATACTACGATTGGAAAGAAAGGACTCAATAATCTTAAAGACGTTACCAGCTACACCATAAGAAGAAAGCTTATGGAGAAGACCAGCATGCCAAACTTTATCAAAAGCTTTAGAAATGTCAAGTGCGATAGCCTTAACCTCTCCACCTCTATCTAATGCACGGTAAAACCTATCGGTTATTACTGTTAGCACATCAGCTGTAGAACGAGAAGACCGAAATCCATATTGATGGTCAGAAAGTAAGTTATTTGATTCAAGATGAGAGATTAAGTGTTTGTTAATTAAAGATTCAAAAACCTTGCTTATGACAGGAAGAAGACTAATGGGCGGTAGTTAGATGAATCAGATCGCTCTCCGGAATTTTTGAAAATAGGGATAACAGATGCTGCTTTCCAGCATGATATAATTTTTATATATTTTTTAATTTTATATATATATATATATATATATATATATATATATATATATATATATATATATATATATATATATATATATATATATATATATATTTATATATATATATATACTATATATATATATATATATATATATATATATATATGTATGTATATATATATATATATATATATATATATATATATATATATATATATACATATATATATATATGTATATATGTATATATATATACATCTATACATCTATATATATATATATATATATATATATATATATATATATATATATATATATATATATTATATATATATATATATATATTACTAATTTATAATTTACAGTTTGTTTTACCTTCAGCAGGTTTTCAGGAAGAATGTCTAAATATCAAAAAGTTCAAATTATCAAAAAAAATATTTCACAGGAAGCTAATTAATGAAGAAACTATGCTATCAAAATATAATTGGTAATTAAAAAAAAAAAAAAATTAATTTTAAATTCAACTGATCTATTCTAAAAACTGCACCTGTCTATAAAAATATTTCTAAAAAATGTATGCTATGTTTGCAAGAAAAATTTGAAATTATTAACCACGTGGATCGAAAAAATCTAAATTAATTTCTAAATGCATGCATGAAAATAAATGCCTTTTAAAAAATTATAAAAAAAAATGACCTGACTAAAATTATATTAAAGAATTTTATTTCACTAATATTTTTTTGAAAAATAATGTAATGCTGAATGTGAAACAAATTGTATTTAGATAAGTGTTTAGATAAGTGTTTTTACTAATTTATTATTGCTCAGTTCTTTGAGAACATTAAGCACTTTATTTGTAGAATACACAAGCTAAACTTTCACACACATACACGCACACACGCACATATATATATATATATATATATATATATATATATATATATATATATATATATATATATATATATATATATATATATATATATTATATATATATATATATATATATATATATACACAGTGCTTCCAGAAAGTATTAGCGCACTCGTAATTTTTTTACTACAGACAACTTCAAATCAATTTAAATTGTAAAGTAATTTTAAGACAAAAATTCGAAGACAAAAGTCAATTTGGTCGTCCCAAAAAATTGTCAAAAAGGGACAAAAATAAAGCAATTATGCTTGCTAGACGCAACCCAAACATGAGTATAGCTGAAATTGTCTCAGACTTGAATACAGCGATAGGTACACATCAAGTTAGCCGATCAACAATTAGCAAGCTAATGAAGAAAAGACAACTCAATTCATACCTTGCAACAAAGAAGCCACTACTAAACATCAAAGACCGTCTCAAGCGAAGAAAATGGTGCAAAGAGAGAGCTGCATGGATTGTAGAGCAATGGAGAAAAGTTTTTTCTCAGACAAGTCAAATTTTGAACTTATTAATCGCAAAAAAAGAGTTGTCATAAGGAGATACAAAAACGAAAAATATAATCTTTGTTTTATCATGTCAAGAGTTCAAGAAGGCGGAGGTACAGTTGGCATTTGGGGCTGCATTGCTGAATCTAGCAATGTCATGGTGCATCTTTACACTGATCACCTTAGTCAACATCGATATAGAGAGATATTAGAAGATTATTTAAAGCCATTAATGGACATTTTTAAAGCTGACTCCACCTGGCAATTTTAAAAAGATAACGCTGCTTGCCACACAGCACGCTCAATTAAGCAATACATGAATGAAAAATGGTTGAACCTGATGCCTTGGTCCATTCGCTCACGTTATTTGAATCATATTGAGAATCTTTGGAGTTGGATGGACTGCAAATTACAAAAAAGCAGGCCCACTAACTTGGTGCAGCTCAAAACGCAAATGCAAGCGTTGTGGAATACCGTGCCACATGAACTAATCAAAAAATTTATAGATTCTATGCCACGTAGAGTCTTGGCATGCCTTAAAAACAATGGTGGTCACATAAAATATTAAACTTTCCTAAAATCTTTGAAAAACTGTAAGTGCGCTAATACTTTTGCACACTTTTTTATTATTGTTTTTATCACTCTTATTGTATTCTAACTAAATTCAAGATAATAATAAATAAATACTTTTATATATTTTACAATTAATAATTCTGCATTATTTTATGAATTAGCTACAAAAAAAATTATGAATTAGTCTTTTATTGTTTTCAAACTACAATCCTTTAAAGTTCACTGAGGTAAAAAAAATATGAGTGCGCTAATACTTTCTGGAAGCACTGTATATATATATATATATATATATATATATATATATATATATATATATATATATATATATATATATATATATATATACATTAGAAATGTATGATATTATTGTAATTTATTTTAAATATATATTCACCAATAAAAACTAAAAAACTAGAAAAAGTAGCTGGACCTAAAAGACCTTGTATAGAGTCTTATATATACAGTGGGAAAAGACTGCACTCTTAATTGAAACTTTTTTTCTAATTTATACAATAATTATTTATCCTCTACATTTTGTGAAGCCACAATCAAAGCTAAAGTTGTTTTTCCTGCTTTGTCAAAATTATTTTATTACAGAAAGTCGATATGAATAATACTGATAGGACTCATGATTACCAGTTTGGTTTAAACAACTCGAAAACATCATGCACAAACTATTTGAAAAACTGTTTACTACAATATATCTAGAGGAAGTCTTGTGTTTTCCTGTTATACAGATTTCAATAAAGCATTTGACAATGTTATTTACTGATTATTATTCTGCATAGTAATACATAAAAGTGCATACTTAATAAAATAATTTGTGGAATAATAATCAGTATACAATATGTATACAATAAAAAATTCTTTAAAAATTACTTAGTATTAAAAACAAGGAATCTTCTTTAATTAATGTGTTTTTTAATACCAAGAATATAGTTTGTATGATATTTAATCTGATTCAAAAGTCAAAAATCATATTAAAATCATTTGCAGAAACTTATTTTTGTTAAGTCTTCTAAATACCTTGATCAAATAATAAAAAATTACCAATCAAATGATCTGGATATAATAAACCTGAATATATAAGTAAAAAGTTGTACACACAAAGTAATATTCAATTAGATGCTTTTATTAATGATCTAACAGAATAAAGTTGCACCCCTTAAGTAATATTGTAACAAATATGCTACATTTATGCTCATTTTTTGGTTATGACAAGTGTGATAGTAATCTAATAATTTGTTTAAGCATAAATTACTGTAATAAACTCAAAAACTTTGGCTTATAAATTTGCAAACAATAGTTCGTTTGTCAGAACATAGAATTTTTTCTTTTACCAAGCTCATAATTTCATCAAAGTTTGCAGCCTTCTTTTTCATCCCATTGGTTTCATAACATAGTTTTGAGGAAAATTGAGTTTCAATTTTTCTAGTAGCGTTATACGCCATTTCGTTGATGCATGCAACTTTTTGCTTTCCTTCTGACAGTATATGTTTTAATGATTTTGAATGAGATTTTAGAGGAGATAAACTAAAATTTTTGAGTTCTTTATTGATCTCCTGTCTTATTTTTTTGCATGGTGATATTAGAAAATCCTCATCTTGTTCACTCTTACTTTGCTCCTCTTCTGTAAGTTCTTTTTTTCTGGCAATCTTTTGTTTACAAGGTTTGCAAAGTTTCTTCCCAGGAGGAATATTCAAACAATTTCTCATCATGACTTGTGACTCTTTTATTGTAACTACGCCAAGATTTTCTAAAAGTAATTGAATTGTATAAAGTATGTCTGCACTTTAGTTCAAAACTTTCGTTTATTTTTTGAAAAACATAAATTAATGAAATATTTAAATTTTACAGCTACATACTTGTGATTTTCTTTGTATGTCTATTGAATGGATCACAACAAGCTTTCTGCCATATAGGATACATTTTCAAATATTTTGTATTATGTCTTTCACATAAAATTTCTAAGTTTGATAATTCAATATTACAGCGTAAAGATATAATTATTTTTTCTTCATTGCTTAAAGTTTCAATAACATCTTGTTGGCCTTCGCAAGCATCTGATGTCATTAACCCAATAGAACACATCTTAATAAGATAAATTATTTAGTATGAAAGTATTTCCTAAAAATAAAAATAAAATTCTTCTACTTAATTGTATGTAAAAAAAGTTTTTTAATAAATATAATTTTTAATAAATGTTGTTCTTAATATTATTATTATTAATATTAATAATAAATGTTGTAAAAAAAGAAGTTTTTAAATAATTATATTATTTAAATTATTAATTTTTTAAAATTTAAATATAATCTTACCAATAAATGTTGTTCTATATCTGAACTTTTATAAACTAAACTTTTATAAACTAATTTTTAATAAACTTTTACAAACTATAGTTGTCAAAATTAAAAAAAATATCATATTAACATAACAATTATTTTTTATAAAATGTTTTTATATAAAAACAAAACCGGATGTTTTTTCAGTTGTTAAGTTCATATAATTAAGTTATCATATAATTAAGACTTCCTTAAATATATAAAAAGTCTATTAACCAAAATTAATTCTTTACAGAATTCTATAATTTGCTACACATGTACTATCTTTAGGAAGATTTTTAGCAGCTTTTAAGTGATGCCATACCCTTTTAATTTTTTAATTAGTTTGCAATGAAGTGTATTGAATGCTTTTGCAGTAAGAAAAAAGCAATTCGAAGGATACAAAAAAAAAAAGAACTTTCCTACTTAGTTTTCAGTAAAAAAAAAAGCTCTAGTTTTAAATATAGTAAATAATGATATAGTATTAGATATTTCCAAATCTTTGGCTGTAGGATAATTGGAGCTTGATAAGAGTTAACAATGATGTCTCAACTTATCATCTACAACTTATCACTACTAAGTAACTACTGTTCATACAAAGTAGTTTGATATGTTTTATTGGCTAAATGGTTTAAATGACAGAGATATGGCAATGCCAGGTGTTATTGAAACACTATTCTCCTCCCCTCTAACTGTAATAAAAAAAAGTTGTTTTCACCATATCTTTTGCAATATGCTTTTTTTTAAGTATTCTTGGTAAATTGAACTAAATTAGAACATCACTAAAAATATTTTGTTGTTCCCTCACCCCTCCCCCTCGTTAGAAAATTGCTATGGGCACCCATAAAAGTGGTGTATCTTGGAAACTATGGTTCTATATGTTTTAGTTGTTTTTCCAGTTAGGTTTTTTGTGCCTAGTAAGATAATAAGTAGCTAAAAATATTAAAAGCAAAAAAAAAAAAATCTAGACGGGGGTGTTTTGAGATATATGACCCCTAAGTTTGAATATATAAATTAGGTGTGTTTTTAATTTTAAAGCATGTTCTGCTCATATTTCAGCATTCTAAGTGCATTTTTTGAATTCTGCATTAGAAAAGCATTATAAATGCTAATTTTCATATTTTTATTTTCATTATTTTTCATTTTATTAGAGCAAACGTTTTTTTAAAATGACACAGAAACCAGGTCATTTTGGGAAACCAGGTCTATATTAAAACCTTGATATCTTGTGAACGGCTGAACATTTTTGGCTAAAATTTTGCATGTGAACTTTTCTATATGAAATGCAACAGCTAAAGAAGTTTAAAGAAAATATGAGACCTATGGTTCAAAATCTTGAAAAATTTGGGTGATTTGATGTGGAATTACCCGCTAGTTAAGTTTGGAGTTACAAGGAAGCAGAGAAGATAGTTAAAGAGCAAGAAAATAGTATGCAAAAAAAACTTTAAACTATATGAGCAAAGTAACTCAATTAAATTAACCACAATTAAGAAGAACTATAATCAGTTGTAACAACTATAAAGTACATGTCCATCAAACTAATAACAAGTATAATTTATAAGTACATCGTCACTCTCAGACTGTATTGGAATAAACACTGACACGTTGCACATCCACGGTAGTAGCATGATCTGCTAACAGTAGCTAGTTAAGTTTGGAGTTACAAGGAAGCAGAGAAGATAGTTAAAGAGCAAGAAAATAGTATGCAAAAAAAACTTTAAACTATATGAGCAAAGTAACTCAATTAAATTAACCACAATTAAGAAGAACTATAATCAGTTGTAACAACTATAAAGTATATGTCCATCAAACTAATAACAAGTATAATTTATAAGTACATCGTCACTCTCAGACTGTATTGGAATAAACACTGACACGTTGCACATCCACGGTAGTAGCATGATCTGCTAACAGTAGCTAGTTAAGTTTGGAGTTACAAGGAAGCAGAGAAGATAGTTAAAGAGCAAGAAAATAGTATGCAAAAAAAAAAAATTTAAACTATATGAGCAAAGTAACTCAATTAAATTAACCACAATTAAGAAGAACTATAATCAGTTGTAACGACTATAAAATATATGTCCATCAAACTAATAACAAGTATAATTTATAAGTACATCGTCACTCTTAGACTGTATTGGAATAAACACTGACATGTTGCACATCCATATTTTGCTGGAAACTGAATAACACAGTTACAACAATCCTCCACCCATAAATTATTCATACTGTTCTAAACATGCTAGTTTATGACAGATTCGACCTGACCTTTGGCTTTTTGTAGAAATGGGTTCAGAAAACAACCCAAATTGTTCACAAGGTCTCTTGAGACCAAAATCTTTAATTCAAGCTGCTCATATACTCTGTTGGGATCAGTATCCTTGATAATCAAGTCGTATTCATTGTGCATGTTATCACTTGGAACTGAGTTTCAGTTGTTTCAGATATTTGATAGCTTAACAAAGAACTGTTCATGCCATCTGCTGTTTTAACTAAAGGCTTAATGCAACATTTCACATGACATTTTACAATCTGATCTACATGTCTAATCTGGATACGACCATCTGATGTCAACACTTTATAGTTAACATTTCCAACTGCCGATACAATAATGGCTGAGACACACTTCTCACTCCCAATATAACTCCTTATATAAATAAGGTCTTCAGGTTGAAAGAATCAAATTTTTATTATTCTGGAAGCTGCTTTTTGTTGATTTTGGTGATGGCCTTAGGAAGTAGCATCAACAATGGATTATAAACCTTTTCTAACAATTGGAGACAAAGTGAAAATGATGCTTTTGGCTAATATATCAAGTTTTAATTTAGAAAAGGATGCTTTTATTGAATTAATTTGAAAACTATTTACAATAACATTAAAGATGTAGAACTACAAAAAGCAGTTTTTTTATCAACTGTCTGCTTACAAAATTATTTGTAGTTTGTGCAAAAATGACACTAAAAATAAAACTTTTACTCAGATAATAATGCTAATGAGAAATTAAAACCTACTGTCAAGGATCAACTGAAGGAAGCACTACTAATGCAGATGAAAACAAAAGTGATTTTTTAGCATTGTATTCAATAGGTGAGGAATCTGAGAGGGTGAATGAATTAGTTATGATTAATGTAAAAATTAATGGTAAAGAGGTTGGAATGGAAGTTGACACAGGGGCTGCTATTTCCATAGTGGGTGTTTCAGCTTATAGAAGAATAAGAGGAAATAATGAAAAGCTAAGAAGGTCTGAAGTCAGGGAGCACAACCAAAGTTTTTTTAAACCAAGACCAGTACCATATGCTTTGAGGGTTAGAATTGAACAAGAGCTTGATCGCTTGGAAGACCAAGGGGTTTGGAGAAGAGTCCGATTCAAAATGGGCAGCACCTATAGTGCCTGTTCTAAAGAATTCAAAAGATCCTATGGGTCCATTGCGTATATGTGGAGATTATAAAATTACAATAAATCAAATTATCCCTCTGGATACCTATCGAATACCACTGTCAGTTAGCCACTATCTCAGGAGGACAGAAATACACCATGCTCAACTTGTCCCAGGCATATCAGCAACTTCAGTTAGATGAAGTTTTACAAGAATTTCTAAAAATAAATATGTATCAAGGTTTATATCAGCCAACTTGTCTTCATTTTGGTGTTCATAATGCAACCGGTATCTTTTTTTCAAAGAGAAATTGATAGAAGGTTGGGCAGATTACCATTTGTGAAAGTACGAGTAGACGATATACTCATTTTTGAAAAAACTGATAAAGAGGATTTAAGCAATTTAGAATCCATTTTAAGAATATTGAAGGAATATTGAAGGAAAGATTAACTCTTAAAGCATCTTTAAGTGCTCTTTAATGCAACCTGAAGTGGTATTCTGTGGTTTTATAATTAGCCATAAAAGTTGCAGACCAACAGCACAAAATGTATAAGCAGTCAGGGATATTCCTCAACCCACCAATGTCAACAAATTAAGAGCATTTTTAGGTATGGCTAAATATTAAAATGCCTACTTACCTAGGATGGCTTCTGTTACAGAACCACTCCATAATTTGTTGAGGAAGAATGTATTTTAGAAATGGAGTAAAAATTGTGAGAAAGCTTTTCAAAAATTTAAAACTTTGTTATGCAATTCACCATTGTTAGCCCACTTTGATCCATCAAAAAAAAATCATGGTTCACTACGATGTCATTCCACATGGCATGGGAAATGTTCTGAGTCAGGAGCATATTTTTGTCTTCATATTTTTGTTATCATGATAACAAAAATATCAAGACATTTTTTCGAGATAAAAAAAATGTGCCAATGAATGAACAATCTATTTGTATTGTACTAAAAATTACTTCATTAATTATTACTCTTTGCTTTTCTTATTAGTTAAAGGTACCTTTACCTTTAAGTTATGCGGGGGGAGGGGGCCAGAATAAAAAAAAAAATTACCTGTT